GGTGGTGGTGTTGTGGTGTCTGCGACTGGTGGTGGTGTTGTGGTGTCTGCGACTGGTGGTGGTGTTGTGGTGTCTGCTACTGGTGGTGTTGTGGTGTCTGCTATTGGTGGTGGTGTTGTGGTGTCTGCTATTGGTGGTGGTGTTGTGGTGTCTGCGACTGGTGGTGTTGTGGTGTCTGCGACTGGTGGTGTTGGACTGTCTGGGGCTGGTGGTGTTGGACTGTCTGGGGCTGGTGGTGTTGTGGTGTCTGCTATTGGTGGTGGTGTTGTGGTGTCTGCGACTGGTGGTGTTGGACTGTCTGGGGCTGGTGGCGTTGGACTGTCTGGGGCTGGTGGAGTTGGACTGTCTGGGGCTGGTGGAGTTGGACTATCTGGATTTGGTGGCGTTGGACTATCTGGGGCTGGTGGCGTTGGACTATCTGGGGCTGGTGGAGTTGGATTATCTGGAGTTGGTGGCGTTGGATCTGGGGCTGGTGGTGTTGGATTATCTGGGGCTGGTGGTGTTGGACTGTCCGGAGTTGGTGCTATTAATAAATAAATAAATAAAACATCATTATTCAAGAAATAAAAATGAAGAAAATAAACAAATGATAATTACGATTATCTTTTGGCGGTGCTATAAGATAAATAAATAAAGCATTATTTTTTGTTCAAGTAATAAAAATGAAGGAAATAAAATGATAATTACGACTATCTTTTGGCGGTGCTATAAATAAATAAATAAAACATCATTTTTTTGTTCAAGAGGTAAAAATGAAGAAAATAAACAATGATAATTACGATTATCCGGTGGTGGTGGCGGTGCTATAAGATAAGTGAATAAAGCATTATTTTTTGTTCAAGAAATAAAAATGAAGAAAATAAAATGATAATTACGATTATCTTTTGGCGGTGCTATTAAATAAATAAATCAATAATAAAGCATTATTTTTGTTCAAGTAATAAAAACGAAGAAAATAAAATGACAATTACGATTATCTTTTGGCGGTGCTATTAAATAAATAAATAATCATTATTTTTTGTTCAAATAATAAAAATGAAGGAAATAAAATGATAATTACGATTATCTTTTGGTGGTGCTATAAGATAAATAAATCAATAAATAAATCATCATTTTTTGTTCAAGAGGTAAAAATTAAGAAAGTAAACAAATGATAATTACGATTATCCGGTGGTGGTGGCGGTGCTATAAAATAAATAAATAAATAAAGCATTATTTTTTGTTCAAGTAATAAAAACGAAGAAAATAAAATGACAATTACGATTATCTTTTGGCGGTGCTATTAAATAAATAAATAAATCATTATTTTTTGTTCAAGAAATAAAAATGAAAAAAATAAACAAATGATAATTACGATTATCTTTTGGCGGTGCTATTAAATAAATAAATAAAACATCATTTTTTGTTCAAGAGGTAAAAATTAAGAAAATAAACAAATGATAATTACGATTATCCGGTGGTGCTATAAAATAAATAATTAAAGCATTATTTTTTGTTCAAGTAATAAAAATGAAGAAAATAAAATGATAATTACGATTATCTTTTGGCGGTGCTATTAAATAAATAATTAAAGCATTATTTTTTGTTCAAGTAATAAAAACGAAGAAAATTAAAATGACAATTACGATTATCTTTTGGCGGTGCTATTAAATAAATAAATAAAGCGTTATTTTTTGTTCAAGAGGTAAAAATGAAGGAAATAAAATGATAATTACGATTATCTTTTGGCGGTGCTATTAAATAAATAAATAAAGCATTATTTTTTGTTCAAGAAATAAAAATGAAGAAAATAAACAAATGATAATTACGATTATCTTTTGGCGGTGCTATAAGACAAATAAATAGAGCATTATTTTTTTGTTCAAGAGGTAAAAATGAAGAAAATAAACAAATGATAATTACGATTATCCGGTGGTGCTATAAAATAAATAAATAAAGCATTTTTTTTTGTTCAAGAAAAATGAAGAAAATATGCAAATGATAATTACGAGTGTCTTGTCTTTTTTGTAAATGTTCAATATTGGTTGATTGAATTGGGCCTGTAAACTGAAGGATGAAAATAAGACTTATCAGGAGTACCATAAATGCTATCAATAATTTTGGGTTTGTTTTATTCATTTTTGTTCTTTGTTTAATAGATAAAAAATCAAATAAAAACTTCAATAATATATATGTTTAATTTTTTTGTGAATAAATAATTTCTTTTGTGAAAAAGTCGAAAGAATTCAAAATGGAGGGGAAAAAAAAGGAAATTTGATTTAATTTATCACGCGCATAATAGGGCCCAGTTTGCGGATCCTCGCATAATCAGTTGAAAATTCTGCGAGGCGTAGGGATGGGGCGGTTCCACTAGGGAACCGGTTCTGAGCGGTTCTGAACCGAACCGAACACAGAACCGCGAACCGGT